GCCCGCCCGCCCGCAGCCGCGCCCTAGTAGCTTCCAGCCCGCCTGGCGGCCGGCGTGGGTCCGGCCCGAAGCTCCCTCACGCCAACCCTCCCGCAAAAGCAGCCCCTGTCGGCGCCCCCTCTACTGTTCTGAGCTTCACTCAAGGCCCACTCCGCCAAAAATATGTACTTAAAAAAAGATCCTAACCCCCAAAGAAAGAATGAAAATGCGGAAGCAGGATCTCACAGGCCTTTCGAGATCCTGTAATCATATTTTCCCCTTCCAGCCCTTTAGGATCTGTTTCTTGGCTGTTTGTTTTTAAGGTCTAATAGGAAAGGAGAAATGCTTAGTTAAGTGAACAATCCCAGTCTAAAATAGGTCCTTCCCGCTCCTCCATCCCGAAGAGTCAGGAGAATTGTAACATCAGGTTAAATAACGAAGAAACGACCCTCGTGGAAATTTTCCAAGAGCATCTCTACGGCCCCAACCCCCGTAAATATGAAGCTCACCCACCTCTGCGTTGATAATTCTCCATCAAGATAGTCACTTCCACTCCCAGAGACTAGTTACCTCTCTCCTGGAAACTAGGAAATCAACAGAATGGCCCATCTCAAACAACGGAATCACAGAACTGTAGAATTTTAGAGGTGAAAGAACCAGAGATCCTTGGTCCAAACTCTTATGGTAGGGTAGGGATTCGAAGACGTTTAGGTTACCTGTCCAAGGTTATACAGCCAAGGCCTGGTCTGCATTCCGTTGCTCCTTTTCCTTAAGAAACAACTGACCTAAGTATTTATCATTCAAAGTTAATCTTTTAAAATATTCGTTTCCTCTGTTTCTTTTTGTCCTGAATTAATGTGTAACCGTTTTGGAAACGCTTTTCTCTGAGGAAAGGAAGTGCCCTGTCTTTGTTCCCTTCATAATCTTCACCAGGAGCACTGAATCTACCACAGACGTATTTATCCTCATTTTCTATTGCAGTAACTGAGGCAGGGCATAGGGAGTGGCAAATTGCTGCATATTTAATTCTACACATTGACTCCTGCTGCTTTTCAAACTGGGAGAAGAGTATTTTGAAGGATAAGTCTAAAAGCGAAAAGGAGTGTATGCCCAGAGGCAGTTGTAAATGACATTTTCGAGTGACAGTGGTTTTCTTCAAGTTAGGGAGGATAACCAGTTGCAAAGCTTTCCAAAATAGAAAAACAAAACACTGACTGTCTCTCAGAGAGATAGCAGCATATTAGCCATTCCATTTTACTTAGTATTTAGTTACTTTTGATTTTTTTAAAGCAGTAGTTAACCAAAAAAGGATAAAAATATGACTCAAAGGAGAAAGTTACAATAATGAAAAATCTATCTCTGAAACAAGGAAAAGATTCCACTAGAACTTCAAATTTTCAGGATTTTTGCAAAAGATTTCTCTAATAGGCTTCCATTCTCCCTATTACAGCACTGCTGCATCTATGAAGGAAGCTGAAAAGGAGGATTTCTTTCCTTTCTATCCCTGGCATTGGTACTCACTACATAGTAAGTTCCAGGAGGGATCCAGTCGTTTTTTTTTTCTTTGTAAACCATTGTATTGTGCCTAATACACTACATGATCTATAGTAAGTCCTTAGTAAATGTAGCTAAATATGTAAGTGAACACTATTAGTGCAAGTCCTCTTCCACTTTATACCTATTGTCTCCTACTTAATCTCTTTACCTCCAATCTCTTCACCTCCAATCTCTTCCCTCTCTGATCCATTCTTTTAACACCAACATCCAGATAATTCTTCAAAGCCCCTGATCTAGCCAGTTTATGATAAAGTTTGTAATTTAAAAAGGAAAATTTCTCATAATGTTGTTTTTTTTTAAATGCAGACTACTAAATTGTATTTGAAAACAGTTTATGCATAAAAAGATGCTAGCCAAAAATTTTAATAATCTTCTCATTCAAAAATATTGCTTAAATCCTATGTATTAGGCACTAGGCTGTGATCTGAGACCACAGCAGTGAAAAGTGAGACACCCTGTGAGCTCATTTTCTCTCTAGAAAGTTTACTATTATACAAATAATTAGTAATAATAAGCATTATTTTTAAAGAAAGAGAGATGTACAGGGTGCAGTGAAGGGCCAGACAGGAGGCCCTAACCAAATGTGAGAGTGGGGAAGCCATGGAAAACCTGGTTCATTTCTCAACCCCCAAGACTCAACTAAACACTCACTTCCTTAGGGAAGAATCTTCTGCTTTCTCTGACTAAGCCGAATTCCCAACTATCTTCCCTTTGTAGCATTTTTCTCAGTTGCCATTTTATGTTTATTTTCTGGCTGGTTGGTTAATGTCCACCTCTACCACTCATATGAAAACTCTGCAAAATTAGAGAGCACATCTTTTTTGCCCTCCACTGTATCCTCAGCGCTGAGACAGTGGTGCATAGTGGATGATAAAGAGGCCCAGAGATGGACAGGTACGGGCCCCCTTGTTCAAAACTATTAAGAATTTCAAGTTGGTGACAGAGGAGTATTAAGCCAATCATAAGGACTTTCTAAGCCCAGGGCTGTGGCAACTATACAGGTTGAATGAGTGAATTAAAGTTGAGATCTAAAGGGTGTGTAGGAATTAGCCCAAACAAAGGCAGAACATTTGAGGGCAGAAGGTAAGGTTTATACAAAACTCATACAGAAAAAAATGTGATAGAAGAAATTTGAGAAACTGATAGTTTTTAGTCAGAGGATAAATCAGAAGCAGATGAGGGCAGAGGAAGCAAGGTCCAGACTGGGATTTAGAATTTTATTCTATCAGCAAAGGAAGCTGTTGAAGGATTTAAGGAGGGGCACAACATAATCAAAGAAGCCGTTGGCTTTGGGTGTGAAAACCATCTATTTTCCTTCTTTCCACTTTCCTGTATTTTTCAAATTTCCCTCCCAATCTCATTCAGAGTAAAAGCTAAAAGCCTTGCAGTAGACCTAAAATGGTCTATAAGATCCTATGTCCATAAGGCCCACAAGGGGCGCATCTCTCACTCCCTGCCTCCTCACTCCAGCCAGTTTCTCAGAGACTCCAACCACTCTACCTCCTCAGGTACCTGAATCACCCTCTGTGCCTGAAACATTCCCTAAGTATCCACCCACTTCCTTTTAGTTAAATTTACCTCCTCAGTAAAGCCTTCCTCAGCAATAACCACCTATCCACACACATAAACTCCCCATTTTTATCTTTATCTTTCTCCTTAGGTTAAGCTTACCACCTTCTAAGATGCTATTATATAGATTTTCTGTCCTCAGCACTCCTCTCCCCACTCCCCCACCCCAACCCAAAAAGTAAGCTTCCTGAGGGCAGGAATTTTTATCTCTTTTACTGGCTGTTTTGTCCCCAGAGCCTAGATCACTGTCTGGTATACAAGAGTAACTTAATATTTGTAAAATGAACAAATGAATTGTCTATGTAAGCGCTATGAAACCCTCCATAAACTCAGACTACAAATAGTCACAGTTGTTTAATATGACCCAGATATGAAATCCAAGACCTCTCTCTCTCTCTGTCTCAAGTCTTTCCCCAACCCCTGCACCTAAAAATAACTCCGTCCAAAGGAGATCAGTCTTCCTCCCACTTCCCTTGTGTTTATCACCCCCCTTGTATCTCTACCTCATTTACCACAGACAGGTGTCAATATGGAGAAATGGTCCTCTACAGCCTTAGCAGGTGATGCTGATACTTCTCCAAAAGAAAAACCTTGGAATTTTATCGTAGACCCTAAGTCATCAACCTACATACACCCCTTCCTCAAGGAAGTTCGGGATTTGTCGCTGTTGTTTTCCTCCGGACCCTAGGTATCTTTCCTGCCTTGGTGGCTTGCAGAGGAGGAGGACCTAGTCAACCAGAAAGAACTCCTGAACTACAAATCTCAGAAAGGAGAGGTTCAGCAGGGAGCCTCCATCTTCTCCCTCCAGGGAGCTCCAGGCCTCCTTATGCAAATAATCTACCTTATCGCTAGAGATCAGCTTTGTATACCTGAGCCTCAGGAAGGGGCAGCTGGAAAGGAAAAAAATGTTCAGGATTGTCTCACTTCTACCTATATTTGCATAACTGAAAGACCCACTCAAATAATTCTTTGTAGCCCACAGATCTGTTTCCTTTCAAAACAAAAAAAGGAGAGGGGGCTCCCACTAAATACAGGTAAAAATAATCTCATCTTACTCTGGAAGTTCACAAATCTCATCTTAATTTGGGAGTTCAGTACTATAGTCAGCACAAGGCAAAAATCTCATATAATAAAATGAGACTGAAAATTATCATTCTTGAAAATTATCCAAATTGCCCATAAGGTATATTAAATATGGTTTTGTATACATAGCCATGTATAGTAATATGTACATATTAATGATCTAGTACTTGTAGGTAGTCATAAAGTAAATCTTTCATGTGCTACACCTCTTAGAGCACTTAAGAAAATTTATGAAGATTATACATTGCTGGCTTTTCAAGTTTCATCATCATCTTAAAATGGAGTCTAAGACAATGAAAAAAATCAAACCAAAACAAAATAAAGGAACAAACAAAAAAGGATGGATTTTAGCAGTCACTCTCTCTGTTACAGTTTTTCTGTTAAATCTTTAATTTCTTCCTCCAGAATGGTGAAGATACTGACACACCCACTCATCTGACACCCAAATGATGTCTCCCTGGTTGAAGAATCCCTAAAATCCTTTGCACATTATCTCCATAGGTTTTGTCAGAATGCAAGTCTCTCCTTCAGGTTTGATTGACTCCATTGCATCGGCTTCTGGAGGGGAAAAGCCTGCCAGCACCCACACTGTTTACGTTTTCTACTGTCTCCAGAGCTGCTGGAGTTTAATTCTCGGAAGTTAAATGTAGTAATGATGCGATTGAATGGAGTAGCATAGTTTTTATATTAGAAAAAAAAGTTTAAACTAAGGAAATGCAAAACAGGCAAATAAAATAAACCATCCATCTTGTTTTAATCTTGACATTTCCCTGCTCACAAACCTTTAGATTGTTTCACTTACTAAAAATGTCCATATTTCTTAATTTGGCTGTCGAGGCATATTACAGTTGGATTCCATAAAACCTAATTTGCCATTTTTCCTATATACCCTATGATCCCACCAAAGTGTGCTTTTCCCTTTTCCCAATGATAACCTTTATTTCTCCACACTCATGTTATTTGTCATCAATGTTGCCTTCCCATCATTGAAATCCCATCCATTCTTCAAAGTCAAATGTTCACTTCTCCAAAAAGTTTTGATTGAACATAGTATCCCTAAGTGATATTTGTGTACTCCACAAATATTGGTCCTACCATTTTCTGGACACTGTTCTGAATGCTTTTATTTAATTATTGTAAGATAACTATTACCATCTCATTTTACAGACCAGGAAATTGAATAACAGAGAGATGAAAAGTCTTGTCCAAGGTTATACAAGTAAATGATGAAGCTGGATTTGTACTCCAGCTGCCTGGCCTTAAGCATCTACCCCAAATCACAGATTTTCACTAAATACATTCTTGAAATTTTTTTTATAAAACATGTAAGCGTAAAGGAGATTATAACTACCCTTGGGAAGCGTTCAAATTGAGGATTGTGTTACTCGCAGTTCTCAGCATCAAATCATGGAGATGACAAGCATTAAGCTCTAAAAGGAAAGTCGAATAGAGGCTCAGATAGGTTTCATTCCTTAGCCAAGCCCACAAAGGTCCAGTCCTCTTGCCTCAGTCACCCCATCTGATTCATCAGAATGATTTTATTCACAAAATAGGAACTCCCTGATTTATTCCTAAATTCCTTCTTTTTTCTCTTTTTATACTTGAAGTAGAGACACAGCCCAGTCCCTCCGTATTCACTATTGACTGCCTGACTCCAGATAGTAAATTACGCCCCCCTACCTTCCCTTCTTTCTGAGCTCACCCATGCCAGATTGGAATGCATGAGGACGTATGTAAGGATCATCCAGGAGAAACTGCGCTCACCCAACAGAAGTGGGGAGTTCGATCATGCATAGCCACATAATAAGCACAACAAACTACAACTACAACAAAAACCCTGCCTGCTAACCCATATTCCTCTGGGTTCGGGGAGTTTCAAGCATTTAAGGGGAAGTTCTCTGGGTCAGGGTCTGTCCTCATATCAATCACAACCTACTCTGCCTGTATGTCAATCCAGCTCTTAGAGGGGACAAGAAATAAGCAACTTCTCTCTCAGGGCACTAGCATGGCAAAGGCAGGGGAACAACCGAGGGTAGCTGTACCTTTAAGACTTTCAGAGCAGGCAACAGAGTAGATCTAGGGTAAAGCTGTGAGGTTTTGATTGGTCCTCTCCTTTCTTCCTTGGTGCTTTTTTCCTACTTACTTGTGATGCCTCTTGTATTACATTCCCCTACACACCTGGACTTCCCCCTCCTCTGCTCAAAGATACTCCTTTCAAACTGCTTCAGATCATACTCTGGCTGCCAAAAGTGCCCCCCTACCCCACCCTCACCCCCAGTGACAATCCTGTTCCCATCCAGCACCCAGAGATCTCTGCCATCAAAATTGCTTCTTCTTTCTTTGATCAAAATATCCATTTCCCCCAAGTAAATTCAATTTTAATCTTGGGAAAGTATGCTGTTTAAAACATATTTGAAATTTTTATGTTTCAAAATAGTCCAAGCAGTCAATAGCCCAAGCAAAGCCTTTGTTGGAATTAGAAAAGGCACTTCTTCTCATGACATTTTGCTTCCATCTGTCAGAAAGTTGTCTTACTATATCAGTATTATTAAGACAGCACACTTTCCTGCCATGTGTCTGAAAGGCATCATAATAAACATACAAATCTGTGACATTTGCAGTGTGACTCATGCCCCCAGCAGCCCTGCTGATACAGCCTCCCTTTCTTGTTCTCTGACCCTCCCAGGAAGTGACAAAAGGAGACTGAACTAGGAGGAATCAGGAGATTACTAAGTTAACTCTGACTCTGGGCACATCTCATACCTTCCTAAGTCTTTTTCTTCATCTTTGAATTTGATATAATAATGCCCACCTTGCAAGAAGCTGAAGATCAAATGAGAAAGATTATGTAAATCCTATATATGGTGGACTCAATGTGAAAGTTAGATGACTACCTTGGATGAAGGTGGTCAAAAGATACAAACCTCTAGTTATAAGATAAATAAGTACTTAGAGATGTAATGTACAACATGATTAATATTAACACTGCTGTATATTATATACAAAAGTTGTTAAAAGAGTAAATTCTAAGAGTTCTCATGACAAGGAAAAAAATTGTTTTCTTTTATATCTAAATGAGATGATGGATATTCACTAAACTTACTGTGATAATCACTTCATGAGGTATAATCATTATACTACACACCACAAACTTACATAATGCTGTAGAATTATATATTAATAAAATCTTAAGAAAAAAAAAAGGTTAGATGAATCTAAATGTTTAAGAATGTCTAATTAGTAAAGTTTCAGGCTACCTGGAGAGGACATTCAGGGTCACATTGCTCAGTCTATGTCCTCTTTGAGATCAGCCCCAGGAGTCGAGGAGAAAAGGGGAAGGATTAAGCTACAAAAGGAAATGTTTGCCTTTCCTCAAGATTCACCTTCTCTGCTTCCCTTTCTTCTCTCCTTTTCTACTGCAAGGATGAATCGGTCCTCTCAAGATTAAACCTCTCTTCTTACTTTTACTGCATTCAATCTTATGTCTGGACCATCCTTTTTAGTTTTTATTCCACTTTGAAAGGGGTAATTTTCCCTGAAAGAATTGTCTTGCCCTAAATGCAAAATTCCAAAGACTGTCCTAGGGGGGAGGGTCTTCCCTAACCAGAAAGTTTAGAGTCCCAACTGTCTGGATTTCTCTCAGTTAATAATCAAATATCAACTGAAATTTCTGCTCAGACTAAGTTCATATTTCCCCGATTGCCCCTGACCCCCAAAATCCCTGCTTTGCCTTCAGTAAATATAAGTATAGTTATTTATGTCACTGCTTACCACCCATAGGTCCAAATTACTATGTAGCACAGTGATTATGTATGTAATTAAATACACATGAGATTAATGCCGTGGTGCATCTTGTTTTTCCCTTAAAACGTTGTACCCTGTTCAAGAATTTTCAGCTTTCATAGTTTGTTTTTTATATAGCACAGGCTCACATCTTTGAAATAATGAAGGAAGTAATACTCCTTAAAATAGCTACTGGAATTAATGCAATAATGCTTTTTTTCTTTTCTAGTAGGAAAAATACTGTATTTTCAGAAAGAAAAAATGAAAAAGAAAAAAAGAGGAGGAATTATTAAAGGGCCTATGAGATTATGGGGGAAGCAAGCAACTGTGAAGAAAAAATTAAAATGATGTATTTTCCCATGTAGAGTTCAATTAGTTCACATTGCAGTAGACTTGAATGAAATGTGCAATGAAACCAAACAAGCATTCTTTTTTAATCAGTATACTGAGAAATACAGTGTGAAGGTCACTTTTGATCTGCAAACAGGCTACAGAATTTCATTTAAAGTGAAGACAATTTATTCATTCTCTGCATGACAAGCAGTAGAATATTTCAAAACCATGTAAAGGAAAATCTACTTTGTTTATACATAGTTTATCCTATTTGAAATATAAATTACATAATGAAACAAAATAATGGTATAATCATATAGTTCTTATATAATTGATATGGTAGGAAATCATATGTTCTACATAAATCTAGATTCAGAGAAAACAATTCAGTTGCTTGACAATTATACACTAAGTTCTGAGGCTAAAGACGTACTTATTCAAATACGTGAAAAACCAAAATAAATTTATCTTATAAAATCTGCAAGAGGATAAACACATTCATAGTTCTCTTCATTTATAAATTTATTTCTTGCCCCCAAAACATTTAAAATAAAAAAATTTTAAACCCCAGTTTTAGCTTTATAATAGCATATTTCCGTTATTGAAAAAAAGAAATAAATTATAGACAACTTTAATATCATTGGACGAAACTTAGAATCTATGACACATATTTCTGAGTATATTATCTTGTATATCTGTCATATCTTCAACCAACTTAGAGATTCTTGTAGTACCTTGTGCTCAGAGATTTTATGACTTGGGATTACAAACTAGAAAACATAGAGGCATCCGAAATCTTCGCGGTCAGAGCTGGTGTCAACTATCACATCAGGTTATCTTTCACCTACATTACTGTTCCTTATATCTTTGTGCCTCAGTTTCCTCATCTATAAAATGGAGACAATAGAATGATACACATTTCAGAAGGTTGTTCTGAGGACTAAATATGTTAATGGCTGCAGAGCACTTGGACCAGTTCCTAACACAGAAAAAGAATTAATAAATGTTGGTGGCCATCATCATCATCAATCTCATTGCTCATGTTCTTGCCCCTCTAAATACCATTCTCCACACAGCAGCTAGAGTGATTGTTTAAAGATATTATACATCCTTACATTCCACAAATATTGATCACTGCATCAGTTTAAAAAATATGTCCATAAATTCTATGATACTTCTGCCTCCAAGAAGTGAATCATAGTTCCCTTCCCCTTGAGTGTATGTTGGATTTAGTGACATGTTTTTAACAAATAGAAAGGTGTGGAAATATCGGTGTGCAACTTCAGACACTAGGTCACAGAAGGATATTGTGGTTTCATCTGCTATGCTGAGGGCAACCCTATGGAGAAACCAAGGAACTGAGGCCTCTGGCCAACAAACATGTGAAAGAGTTTGAAAGCAGATTCTCCAGCCTCAGTCAAGCTTTCAGATGTCTGCAGCCTCCAGAGACCCTGAGCCACAACTACTCAGCTTAGCCCCTCCTGAATTCCAAATCCATAGAAACTGGGAGATAATAAATGCTTGCTCTTTTAAGCCACTAAATTTTGGGACAATATGTTCCATGGCAAAAAAATCACCCACTACATGCACATGCTACACAATTTTGTAGGTGCTGAGTATGAAGCAATGATGTACAGAACAGTCAAAATTCATGCCCTCATGTGGCATTTACATTCTAGTGGGGTTGACAGAATAAAAACAAGAAATAAATAAAGTCAAGTAGCAAGAAATGCTCTGAAGAAAAACAAAGCAAGTGAAAGACATAGTGTGAGCTTGGGGTTTGGAAAGGAGACATGATGGTAGGGGAGAAGGTGAAGCATTTTC